ACTTCTTTCTTCTTTCTTTTGCAACATCGTTCAAAATGTCCTACTACATTGCAATACGTACAACGTACTTGGTATCCTGGGCAGTTTTCTCTGGAATGATAGTTAGTGTCCCCGCAACGAAAACATTTGAAACTTCTCACTTCTTTACTTATACTTTGATTACATTTAGAACTTGAGCCTGAGGACGAGGAATAGTCATATCGGGAGCCTGAGGACGAGGACTTATCATGTCGGGAGCCTGAGGACGAGGAATAGTCATATCGGGAGCCTGAGGACGAGGACTTATCATGTCGGGAGCCTGAGGACGAGGATTTATCATATGGGGCTGAAATAGCGTCAATGTCCTTTGACGTCACACCCCTAATCATTCCTTGCTGTATTTTAACCGATTCCCATAGCTTAGCTTTTTCTACTGCTTCATTCAACAACAGGTTGCTATTCATGTGCAATGATTCTGAAAGTTTGCTGTCACGTGCCCTAACCACGATGCGGTCACGTAGCATCTCGTCTTTAAGTGCCCCAAAGTTACAATTTTTGACCAATCTATGAAGAGCTGTTAAGTATAGTTCGAAAGATTCCCCTTCAAGCTGGTTCCTCTTATTAAACCGTGCTCTTTCATAAACAATGTTGACAGCTTTGTTAAAGTAATTATTAAAATTGCGTACAACCTCATCATAAGAGGCGTTAGACAGCCCAAATGAATCAAAAATATATTCAGCATCATCACCCATGGCAAGTAATAAAGAACTGATCTGAGTTTCCTGAGGTTCATGGTTTAAAAGTGAAGCGACCCTATAGCGTTCAAATTTCCTTATCCAGGATGTCCAATCAGATTCCCGGCTTTCAAAAAAAAAAAAAAAAACAATCAAAAGGTGGCGGCACGTAAATGTACCTGCCATGAGGCATCATATCAGATTTGTGAGTCACTGTAGTAGAACTTTGCTGGTTACCTGATTTTTCATCTTCTTCAGTTTCTGCATCAGCCTGGTATCTTCGTGACTTTCTGATCTTTCTATTTGGCATGGTTAGTTCCTGTCTGACACCATGAGTTATTCCCGAGATTAATGCAGTGATAATTAATAATGTATTTATTGTGTTAACATATTAAACCATTCAACTACAATACTCCTTGTTTACAAACACTTCCCAATATAACATAAGATGTAAATAAATCATATGATTTATATTAAAGACAGATCAAGAGGATCCAGAGACCAGCACAATTTCCATCTCGTCAACTTCACTTTCACTAATTGAAATTTTCAAATCAGTTAATAATCTACCTTCCTTCAACTTCCACCAACTTAGGTTACGAATACGCGAGTATCAACAGGAATAATTCTGATCAACAATTATAATTGTCAACTGATCAGCTGATCATCTGATTAGGTGACGTTTGAAACATTACAATTTTACTTCTTTTCTCTCAATACTTCAACCTCATTGGTCCGTTACCCGTGTTGTTATGAGAAAAAACTATGATGTTATGAAATGAAACTATGCTGTTATGAAAGTAAACAGCTGTTAAGTGAAACTTTTCAATTCTAAGAATAGAACTGAAATGGCTACTTTAAAAAACGGTCGTAGGCAGTGTTGCCAGGTGTACGATAATTATCGTATTTGTACGATTTTTTTGCTCCTTCCCCATAAAAAATAATTTTGAAAATTGTACGATAATATTGACGTTGTGTACGATTTTTTGTCATAATGTACGATTATTTTTTGGGGGATAGAAAATAAACGATTTCATATTGATTATTATACATTTAAACACATTTCCCACTTTTAATATATTGAAAAACGGTAACATCACTTCGTTGCTGTTCGATCAGGCTACCTTGCAAAGGCATCAGCTGTGTTAGAGAGCTACCATTGGCTACCAAATTAAGTGTTTATAGGAGAATTTTGAGGTAGAGATGTACCAAACGATTACTTTCCAGTACCAGATACAACCGATACTGGTACAGCTGAGTACCTGATACCGAGTAGCGAGTACTTTGTACTCGCGATTACTTTTCAACACAACTCCTACCTGACACCTGTGTCATTGTACTCGCGATTCCTACTTGAGTACGTCTTGTACCCAATTCCACTAACAACTCCCGAGTACAATGTACTACCATCAATATGTATACTTTTAACAGTACTAGGCCAGAGGCCTACTAACCGAGTCAATTGTATAACTAGAGAATATAATATTTGTCGGCTCTATAAAACAAAAATATGTTTTTATGAATAAGTTAAATTTATTTCTTAATCCAGGAATTGAAGTAGGCCTACGGGTTCTTTATATTATTAAACGTTTGTCGTTTAGACATGAAACAAATATTTTCTTTTTTGTCTGTAGTTTTAAAATCAAGAGAAGTGTGATTAGAAACTATCATCAGACTTTTAGACTGTACTCGATACTTGTAACACTGTTAAAGCAACAGTAGACAGTCTGAGTCAACACTTCGATACAAAGGAATCGTTTATGACTTGTACTCGTCTAGTACTTGTACTCGTCTGGTACTTGTACTCGACTACTCGAGTACTCGTCTAGTACTACCCGTAACAGGGAGTACACGAGTAATCGCTAACCTCACTCGTACATCTACAAAACTAGATACTAAAAGTAATCGCGATTACTTTGTATCTGGTACTCGACACTTTCAGTATCTAGGTACTTTTGGAATCGCGAGTACCTAGTACAAAGTAGCGACTACTGATACTTCGACCCACCTCTATTTTGAGGGAAGTTGGCCACCATTTGTACTAGAAGTAGATTACATTGTACCTTCAATTAATTATTGTACTCAGTATATTGGCAGTAGGGGAATGAAATTAAAAGCAATGAGCTAGTTGATGTTTCAAGTTGAGAACCAAAATTCCATAATTTTACAGCATTTCATTTTTTTCTAGCAGAGATGCAGATTCCGTGTGTGTGTAGTAGTGTGTGTGATCATGGCCGCCTTTAACTCCGTGATAGTGTGCTGCCTCCGGTAGAATTTATATTTTTCTAGCTCAGTGGTAGGCTTGTAGAGCAAAAACAATGGGCGACAGAGACAAATAGAGTAAAATTTCGGTCATTCCATCATCGACTTGCTTGTTTTACATTAAAATATAAAAGAAAATTGTGTGTACGATAATTTTGCCCAAAATACGATAATTTTGGACTGCTCGTACGATAATTTACACCGGCCAATCTGGCAACACTGGTCGTAGGTAAAAGTTATTAAAATGGTTTTAATCTCATTTTAGGCCTATAGCAAATTTAATTGTGAACAAAATATTTTGTATACAAAATAGCGTAAATGTGTCCTTTTGGGTGATATGGTAATTTTCAACGAATAGTTCAATTCCTCTAAAGAAAACAAAGATGGTGTCGTATTTCAAGATGGTGGACCTAAAAATCGGGAATCCCCTATAAATTGTGTGTTTTTAGAGTATGGAAGAAATGTACAAAAGCTACAGCTTTAATCCATCAGGTCATGATCCTTGCTGATATTGTCTCTAAAGCCTGGTTTACACGGGTTGAGTACGGCGGGCGAGTCAGTGTGCGAGTTGCCACTCGCTCTTTAACTCGCATGGTGTAGACATGCAGGCGAGTCGAGCAACTGGCGAGTTGATAAAAAGAGGTCAGTTGAGAGCGAGTCGAGTAATTTAGTTGAAAACCGAGTTGCTCGGCCCAGTAGCTACCCCCACCACCACGATTTACCCGCGAAACACCTGTTTACTGATACCAAGTGAGTCCAGCGATTTATTTTTTGTGGTCGCTGAGTGAGTCAATCACATACAACGATCAGTATTGAGGCTAGTTCAGTGAGCAGTGTAGGCCTATCTCACCCTCAATGCTCAATGGTTTATTTGAACAGTACAAGTGATTTTGTTCAAGTACAAGTTGAACACAGTATTGTGTTGCATTGTCTCGTAAATCTACTCTTATTGAATTCAGTTTTCAAAATTGTTGTACAAGATCTACAGTTCTACTGGACCGATTTTATTTATCAATGGGTCGTTAGAAAGCTCACTCCCTAAAAATGTGTTTTATGCAATGAACACATTGAAAACGGTGTTTTCAAATTTTTAATTTGGAGGCAACTTTTGGCTGCCTTTATATATTATTTTAAAGAAATACAGTACCTATAGTAGGTAATTTGTAACAAATCTTTTTATCCTTCAGATTTTCACCTTTCACTTTGGTCTATTTCATCACCGTTATTTTGCAAAAAAAGCTTTTAAGCAACCTCTGAATTTAATTGGTGATTCAGTTTTATATCTAATAGGCTAATCTATCTTCAGTATTAAACTCTTGAAGGGCCAGTTTTAAACTCAAACAACAATTAACTCGAAAGCTACGGTATACAGAATACCCTACACCATAGTGAAATTCTGAAATAATAAAAATTACTTCTCTGTGCCTACACTGTCCCTGTTTGAAATAATTGAAATAGGAATGCGTGTAGACAGTCCAGTCAAGTACCGGACGAGTTGAACAAATCAACAACTGGGCCTAGTAACTGGGCCGAATAGCTCGTCTGACATACTCGACCCGTGTAAACCAGGCTTAAGTCACCACACTAAAAAGTTCCCACCTGTTCAAAACTGTATGTATTCTAGTTCCTAATTAATTTTCAGTGAATTCATATAAATCTCCTTCTCTAAACTAATAATTTGTTAAGTAACAGTCTACCTATTCCATTATTAATCTTTTTTATAGGCAATAATTCAATATGAGTTGGTTACTATATAATAATTAATTAAATATAAACCCAGCAGACGCACAGGCAGCACTTGCCTATGCCAGCTGTATTTCATATAATCAATTGAATGAATTTATACAGAAATGTTCTTTTTCATTCTTAGTCTTGGTTTTATTTTGTAAGTATATTTTGTACCTATTAAAAGTATGTTTTTGTTTTATGTATATATTATGTGGAAATAAACACATTTCATCCATTCACTATAGCCTATTGGTCTGAATCAATGGCACTAGACAAACTAATCTCCGGCCATTACAGGTTTGAAGTGGAATTCTTGATTGGAAATGAAGGAGAAGATTATTGGTTTCCCGTTGCATTCCAATTTGTTTCAAATGTTAAAAAAGAATACACATACAAAAGTAACTTTTTGGAAAAGAGGGGTGATAAGGAGCGATCAGTTGCTGAAAAGTTTCCGTTCCGTCGAGGACAGCCGTTCTACCTCGAATTCTACATCACCGAAGCCGAGTTTAAGGTTGGTAAAAATTTAGGACTCAGACCCCAGCTTAAAAGCACTTTCTGAAGTGTGAAATTGTGTAAAAAGTGTATGAAATGAAGTTTTGGAGGATAATAATTGGGGGAAAAGCAATTCCAGTCCTAAATATGGACTGGAATTGAATAAAACCGACCCTAACAACAGTTCCTCCAAAACCTCAATATACACCAATTTTACACAATTCCACACTTCAAGAATGTTAGATTCACTACATCGATGTGAAAAATTCACAAGGAATATGCACTCGACATATAATTTACTGCTGTCTCACTCAAAGTCAAAGATAACCAAAACCGGCAAGCACGGAGAGCACCATGTCTTTGGTTGACCGATAGCCAACCAGCAACAGCAATTAGCCTACAACGAAAATTAAAATAACTTCGTCGAACAAATACATATTGATAGGTATCCACATATTTCACCAGGAATCACCCCGTTTTCTACCTAATGTCCGAACACGATTTTCCGACACAATAAGAATGAAAATTAAACACAAATTTGAGCTACGTCCTCCTTGGTCACTACTTCACTTTGAACTAACAACATGGAGTCATGGAGACTGTTCAAAACAAACAACTAACAACGAAACCACAAGCCAATCAGATTACTACACGAAAGAAATAATCTGCCAATCAGAAATCTGTACAGTTACATCATCTGTTGATCTGTTTTACCACAAACCAAAACAATAGCAATGCAGTTGCAGTGACAGGTCACTGTACCACAATTACCCCTAGAATTCCCTCAATTTAACCTGAATTCCCTCTGTATTTCTCGTAAAAACCCGTTTTTAATAGCAAAGTACTGCAGTTAAGATTTTAACATGTAGATCTTATGAACACTCACTTGTTGAGAAAAAAATGATCGTTGATTATGAAATGAAACTGTTCTAAACTAACCAAACTTGCTGTACGATTCCCAGAGGAAAAAATAATAGTTCATTATGAAATGAAACCGTTCTAAACTAACCAAACCAACTAAACTTGCTGTATGATTTCATAAATCGGTTTTATAAGAGAACTCGTTAGCTAGATATACAACCAAACAGTAAAGTACAAACCATGAAACTAAATAACAAATTATGTTACATAATCTAATCTAATCTAACCTAACCTAACCCAACCCAGCCTTAATAGACTTTTTGAACTACAATGTTTACAAATAAAATATAACTATCTGTTACCCGGCAACTGTTTTGTATTTTTGAATAATCACTACATGTTGTATTAGTCATCATTTGAAATATTGCCACAATTTCTCCACAGAGTGCAGCACAGAAAAATCATTTACTTTTGAATAAGTCCACATTTTTATATTCAACCCCAATCGCAGCACACCTGTGCACTCAACAATGTTTAAGTTCCCCAATGTTAAATATGTAAGTAAACATAAAAACCATTATCAAAGTATTATCTATCTATATCTATAAAATCCAATGTATGTTTGTCCTTTATGGACTCCAAAACCGCTCGACAGATTGTAATGAAGATTTCAGGCATTATTAAGCATTATTCAAGGATGGTTTGTGTGAAGTTTGGTGCAGATCCGTCAAAAGGGCTCCGCCCCAGTGGCTCTGGAGTTTCCCATGTTAACCTTATGAGTACTCATATTTAAATGGAATTAAAGAATCTTAACAGCTGGTTCAACTAAACTTTCTGATTCTGTGATGTTCAATAACATTAATAAGTTAATAGGTTTACCAACAGGGTGCAGCACTATATTTTTTTTAGTTATGAGAATAGCTAATTTGCAACCAAAATGTGAGTGAGCGTAGCGAACGAACTTCAACCTGGAGGCGAGTTAGCGTAGCGAACGAGCTAACCTGAAGGCAAGTGAGCGCAGCGAACGAGCTTCAACCTAAAGATGAGTGAGCGTAGCGAACGAACTTCAACCAGGTCGGGATTGAGCCATGCGAACGAGCTCATCTTGAAAATGAACGAGCATGTGACATAAAACCACAATAGGACAGGACGACGTCTGTCGGGCCAGCTAGTAAACAATAAAAGGGGTGGCAATGCCTTAAAAATTTTATCTTTTGTTCTATACCCACACAATCTATCATTAATACTAATCTTCACCTGGTGTGATTCTGTCAGGTGGCTGTGGATGGTCAGCACTACGACTCCTACAAACACAGAGTACCTTTCAAGGATATCACCAGAATCAGAATTCTCGGTCATATAACTCTGAACGATGTACACTTCCAGAACACCTCCAAGTACCCTTCCCCAATGATACAGGTGTGTGTAGATAATTGCTCTCATTGAAGTGTAAGAGCCAGCAACTGAAAAGTGCCTCTACTATAAAAAGCACAAGTTACATATTATGCAACTTATTAATATGTATTAATTTGTATGTTAAATTAATATGTAATATTATTGAGGAGTATTTTCATATGTATTAGTTTATAGTGTAAACATTTAACATGGGACAACATTTTTAAGCTTACGACAGACACCCTGACCATACTACTGTGCCGATTTACACGTGGGTTGTGTTCTTTACATCGTTGGTTGTACCAAAACAAAGGTCATCGGTACTATTGTGCAGGTTGTATTTACATTTTGAAAACATTTATGTTAAGTGGGTCAAAAATGAAAATTCAACTTTGCTTATGGAGATTTAACATTGGGCTAATTATGTATATTAATAGTAAAGTAAATGATTAGCCTAAATCAATAGTTGTATTGAATTCAAGATTTTTTATAAAGTTCAATGTAAAACTAAACTGTTAACAAAAACAAACATTAACAATAATCAAATCAACATAGGTATGTAAAATATTTAGTTAGGAATAACTGACATTTAATATGATGGCAAAGACCAGAAGGAAGAGTAGACACTACAATAGACAAGAATGTTTATTGAAAGCATTTTTTTCTCAGCTCCTGTGCATCGCAAGGAAGATCTACGCATACTGTTAAATAGTTATTTGCCTGAAGATGTGCAGAATCCCCTCCCCCCCCTCCAGAATGAGTCCCTCACTTTAAGTGAGGAATTATTTACCACACGAACAAATCTCGATCTTTGAACCTTGTGCGGTTTGTCTGCTGTGTGGATTGACTTATTTTTGTTGTCGGATTGTCTTGTGATTTCTCTTTTTTTCCTTTTTCTGGAATGTAATCTTCAAGAAGAAACGCTGGTTTCAAACGATCAATTTAAACTTTTGTTTTTTTTTTTTTGTTCACTTGAATTTTAAAACATTTTTCATATCTAGTCAACACCTTGTGGGGTCCTGAAAAATTAGGGTTAAGTGAACCCAACGACATATCGTGTCGGAGAAACAGTAAATGGTTTTTGTGGAACAAAAGTCTTAGGTGAACCATGAGTATAAGTTTGTCTTGGCTGTAGTTTACTGATCACACTTTTAAGGATAAGCATAAACTCTTGCTGACTAATGCATTTGCTTGTATCTTCATTAAAGAAAACGCCAGGGAGTGTTAGAGGTGATCCATAAACCAAACCAGTTCAGCAGCAGAACATTGTAGGTCGTCTTTTAATGCTGTCCGCATACCCAAAAGAACAAAGGTAAGGCTTCCACCCATGATTTATGTTGCAGAAGATGACATTTTAGTGCTATTTTCATTGTCCTGTGTTGTCTTTCAATTAATCCATTTGGTTGAGGATGATAAGTTGAGGTACTAGCATGTTTAAATCCAAAGTACTTTCCTAGGGATTGAAAAAAATTGACTTTCAAACTGTCTTCGTTGGTCAGTAGTTATTTGAGAAGGTATACCAAAACGAGAAAACCAAGGGTTTACCAATGCCTTAGCCACAGTATCAGCAGATTGATCTTCAATAGGAACAGCTTCTAACCAAAGAGAGAACCAATTAATTGCTGTCAACACATAACAAAATCCTTTGCACAAAGGCAATGGGTCCACGATGTTGATATTGGTTTACTTATACCGTTGATCTGGAATAAGGAAGTTTGTAAGAGGTGATTTAGTATGTAATTGGATTTTTTTTTACAGTCTACGCAAGTTTGAGTCCACAACTTAAACCTCTTTTTACATTTGGCCATATAAACCTTTGAGTCACCAACTTAGTTGTGCTTCTTACTCTAGGATGGGACAGAGAATGAATATAAAAATTGATTTTCTATAAGGAAAAGGGATGTGCGGGCCAGTAAGTTTTGTAGATACATCACAGAATAGCTCTTTAGATGAACTTATAAGTAGAATTTTTATTATTTTCAATGTTTGAATGGCATTACTTAAGCCAAATGCCATATACGGGAACTCAAATAATCCAAATGGAGTGGTGATAACCATTTTTTCAATGTCTTCTTGAAGGACAGGTATCCGTTGGTATGTTTGGACTAAATAAATTCTGGAAAATATGTTTGTGCTATGTAAAAAATTAGTGCAATCAGTTAGAAATGGCAAAGGATACTTATCAGGAATTGTAGCTTGATTTTATTTTTTGTAATTGCCACATGGTCTCCAGTCTCCATTTTTCTTTTGAACCTGCCCAGCAACTGCTAGAAGGTCGACATAGCCCTTCTTGCAACATAAACTGAAATTCATGTTTTGCAGCTTGGAGTTTATCCGGAAGTAAACGACGAGGTCGGGCTGTGACTGGAGGACCTGTAGTTTCAATGAAATGTTTGACTTTATGTTCAACAATCTTTTTGTTTATAGGACTAGGTCTTAATAAATCAGGAAATTGTGCCAATAAGGAATTGAATGGATTACTTGTACTCAAAGAGAAGACTGAAGAATTTCGGTTTGAAGACATTTTTTGGGGAATGTTTCGAAGTGCACCATCAATGAGCCTGTTTTTCTTGGCATCGATAATAAGATTAAAATGTGATAAAAAAAACCCCATACCAAATATAGGTTTGTTAACATCGGCTACTATAAAATTCCATTTGAAAAGCTTGTTTAGTCCTAAATCAATCAAAAGTTGTCTTTGGCCATAAGTTTTAATTTTGGTACTATTGGCAGCAACAAGTTCAAGTTTCTGTGAGTGATTTTTATCTTTAACAGTAGCTGGAATCACGGAAAAATCAGCTCCAGTGTCCATGAGAAATTGGAAAATGACTGTTTATCATGAACAAATAGGCGACTTACTTCTGCCCCCTTCAGTCGTGTCGCCGAAAAACCTGGGGGCTGGAGTTTTCTGTTCCAATGGTAAATGAGATAACAAACAGGGAGGTGTGCATTTGCGAGCACGACCACCAAAATTAAAGTGATAGTAATACAAAGACTGTTGCGGAGAAGATTTCCTTGTGTCCGTGTTGTAAGAATCACATTTGGATTGACTTAGGTTGTTTTTGTAGATGGATTGAATTTCATTAGACAAATCTGATATTTGGTTTTGAAGATTAGTTATAATTGAATCATGTGGTTCAATGGAAGAAACAGAGGTAGTGGAATTTAAATGATTAGTTGTGATGTCAATAATTTTGTCAGCCATCTCCAAAAGTTTAGATAAGTTTTCATCACAAATTGAAAGAGTAGTTTGAGCATTGATTGGTAGTTTTTTTTTTCTAAACCAAAGCGCTTATAGAAATTCGTCACTCACCTTATTCTGAGCCAATGACCTCATTCTACTAAGAAGTTGCGAGGGTTTTTGGTCCCCAAGTTCCATACCTGTCAGAAGGGTTTGTATTTTCTTTGTGTCACTTTCATCATACAAGGAAATTAATTTAGTTTTTATAGCTATGTATTTGTTCTCTGCTGGTGGATCCGTGACAATCTCAGAGACTTATAAGATAGAATATCAGCGTCAATAGAACTTACCACCGTGTCAAACTTGGCTTGATCTGAGACAATTCGTGATCTTCGAAATTGAGCTTCAATTTGAACGAACCCAATTTTTGGGTTAGGTTTCCAGAATTGAGGAACTTTTGTAGACAAGTTGGCTATTTCTTGGGTAACCAAATCTTCATTAATGTTCATGTTGACTTATAAGGGGTCACCAATAAAGTAAATTATTAAATCAATAGTTGTATTGAATTCAAGTTTTTTATTAAGGTCAATGTAAAACTGAACTGTTTACAAAAAAAACCCATTAACAATAATAAAATCAACATATGTAAAATATTTAGTTAGAAATAACTGACATTTAATATTATGGTAAAGACCAGAAGGAAGAGTAGACACTACAATAGACAAGCATGTTTATTGAAAACATTTTTTCTCAGCTCTTGTGGATCGCAGGGAAAATCTACGCATACTGTTAGAAAGTAATTTGCCTGAAGATGTGCAGAATCCCTTTATAAATTAAAATAGGCTAAAAAATAAACAGAATAATTATTAAAAATAAAAAAATACCCCCGCCGCAGCAAACCTGCCGTCTAAGCGAATTTCCATTTGGCTGAATTGATTTTCAATCAATCTATTTAAATAACATTAGGTTTAACGAGTACCTAGGTTTGCTGCTACAAGGAAACTAATAAAGTGTGTATTTTAAGTAAAATAATTATTGCTTAGTAGAAAATGAATACATTTGCCAAGTTTGATCAAAAGATATCCATAAACAAGCAAACTACAACATTTTAAAATATTCTCCATAAGAATAACATGGGAATTTTAAATTTACAATTTTTTAGTTTTCTCCGTAACCAATAACCGTACAAAAACACTTTGATATACTGAATTGTTTGTTTTTTTAAGCTCTTTAAGAAGGTTTAGAGAAAAATCGGGAAATTTTTTGTTTTGAGGGTCAAAAGTGAGAAAAACCAATTTTTACCCCATAAAACCCCCCATAAAACCCTGTTCCCATGGTCCGATCATGCTGGATCGCGAACTCATTCAAGTTTATCCCGCCTTACACCTTCAAACCAAATTTCATCAAAATCGGATAAAAATTACTCAAGTTATCGTGTTCACGGACACATATATATATAAATCTATATATATATATATATACATATATAAAAATTTGAACGAATGGTGTTTTTGGCCTCTGGGGACATCAAAATGAAAAAGTAAATCGGTCCTGGGCCTAAGTCTTACCATGAGACCTACGGTAATAGCTACTTCCCTATAGGGAAATTCGCTAATAACATGAGATTAATGGGATGCCATGTTGGTGATGAAACAACAACAAAATATAAACAGAAAATCAAAACAAATAGAAGAAATTCCAATTATATGTTTGATTTACAGCGTGGGGTGAAAATAGAGAAGGTTGCACAATACCACAATACATACTTTTGGTCATGTTTTCGACTACGGGGAGAACTCTAGTTATTATATATTATATACTAATATACTAAAGGTACTGGGATGGGATCAAGACGTTGGTCTTCCTTAATCATGGATATGTCCTATTAAGAATTAGATTTATAACTAGAAATCCGCCTTGTCAGTAGGTTTGCTTGTGGTGGGTGTTCTTGAGCAATATTTACATATTTTAAAACTTTAATGGGTGTTTTTTGTTTATTAGGGTAAATGCAAACGTTTTAAATTTATTTCTACTACTGTGAAGTGTACTTTTAAATGCATTGTAATTTTTTTGTAGGGAGTGTGGATACCTGAAGAGGATTATGTAAGTTTATATGTCTTCATAAAAATATACAAAATGCATGTCAATTAATTGGTACACTTTATTATAAAACTAACTTAACACAAAAGATCAAATGTAAACAATAACAATAAAAACAATAATAATCATCTGATTATTTATGCATATGACGTAAGTAAAATTTGAGTTGGTTATTATTCTAGGTTGAAATTAATTATCCAAAAGTAGTTGTTATAGAATAGATGGAAGTTTTGTAAAAGTTATAATTATTAACAGCTAAATAGTCCTATATATGTTTATGAAAACGAATACTTGATAAACAAAGTATTCTTGATATCACAGATCAACACTTTATTATGAATAATTCAGATTACGATTGAATTTATTTTCATTATTATGTTACAAAAAGTGCAATTTGTGTCCAAAATATACAAAATGACATCAAATTTCAATAAATTAATCGATTTCATTTTTGTAATTTATATTATATAGAAAATAAGTTTCAACAGGTTAACTATTACATTAAATCTTTAATTTTACAGAATACGGAACAGCATGGCGAAATACTTATTAAATCTGTAAGTATGTTCAGAATATAATTTTAATAGTTTCGAAGAAAAGATCTTCTAAAATGGATTATGCATGGTTTGGCTCAAATTTGTTTAAAAACAAACAGATTTTGGTACAATATCCGTATGTAATATTTTTGAAATAAATACATGCCTTAGCCTCTGGGCTGTGATATAACTAAAATAGGTTTAACTTTTCGTCAACAGCTCAATCAGTTGTAATCTGCGTTACGGCTGTTTTGGCCACCATCAGACATCTTTAGCTGAAGCAGCGTCTCAGTAGAAACACATAACACGGAAACATTTTACAATTAATTACGAAAATACGAAGATAAAATTAACAAGCCTGTTGCTGGCTTTGGATACTGTAAATAGGCATTCCATTTTTGTGAACCAAAGATACCATTTACTTGGGATACTGAAAGTACACATTCAATTTACGTGAACACCACGTACCATTAACTTTAAAATACTGCAAGTAGACAATTCCATTAACGTGAACCAAATGTACCATTGAGATTGGATACTGCAAGATTAGACATTCTATTTACGTGTAACTGGCGCACCATTGACTTTGGACACTGCAAGTAGGCATCTCCTTAAATAGAACCAAATGGACCATTTACTTTGGACACTGCAAATAGGCATCTCCTTAAATAGAACCAAATGGACCATTTACTTTGGACACTGCAAATAGGCATCTCCTTAATGAGAACCAAATGTACCATTGACTTTGGGTATACAAGTAGGCAACTCATTTATGAGTAATAAATGGACCTTTGACTTTGGATAGTATATATTTAATTTATGAGTACCAGATGAGCCATTCACTTATGATACTGCAAGTATACATTCCATTTACGTTAACTAGATGTAGCATTGACTTAAAAAATGATTGGATTTATATGCTAGCACCGCTCAATATTGCAAGCAGACAACTGCGTTGAATATCTAGTACTATGATTAAAGTTAAAATTATTAATATACGCCCGAACGTCTAAAGAAAATATTAAGAGAGATATAACCATATCATAATGATGACAGTTTTAATGGTAGCTCAATATTTCAGCCTAATATACCAGCGAGAGGTAGCAAGGAGGTGAACAAGGGCAACACCAATTAATTAGGTGAGTTTTAATAGTACTTATTGTAATTTATTTACTTTTTAAAACTCTTAACCACTTCATTTAATTTTTTGTTTCCATTTTATTTGCAATAATTATGTTTTCTTCAACCACTTTAAGTGAGAGATAATCATTTAACTGCCAATCCTCATTTTCCATTTTTATGTTTTCATTAGATTTTCAATTCTTTTTTCCAAAAACAGTTTTAAAAGTAAAGCAATATAATACCCCCACCGCAGCAGATCTGCAGATTAAGAGAAATTTCATTTGCTTGATATTTTAATGAAAATATCTCCTTTAAAATGTCAGATTTATTCCCTGTATAAAAAAAAAAATAGTCCAACTAGTACATAGGTTTTCTGCTACAGAGAAGGTAATAAAGTGTATTTAGTGTGAAGTATTTAGTGTGAAGAATTTATTTTTTAGTATTTGTTTATTAAAATAAACTTAAAAATAGGGATTTTTTTTTTTTTTTTTTTTTTTTTTTGTCTTAGGACGCTAGGCACGAGCCTGGGATTGTTTTTCACATTACTTCAGGCTAGACCTAGGGGTTGCGGCATTATCACTTAGATAAAATCCATTGGTGACTTGGCGGGGATCGAACCCGGGACCTCACGGACCGAAGTCCCGCGCTCTAGCCACTACGCCAGCTCGCTCCCCTAAAAATAGGGATTGACGTTGTGCCGTAAATAAGCTTGTTATGCTATTGCCATATTGGAAATTTAATTATAGTTTGTCTTGTATATTTACAGACAGGAGGCAGAAAGTTGTGTTGATGTGATACAAACGACAAATCCAGTACGAGACAATTGGACAAAACAAGGGGAAAAAAATTAATTGGAAAGATACCTCAGTAGACAGCTGATGCAAGGCATTACAAACATATCATGATAATATACACATGTTGATGTAAACAAACAATGCTTGTGTTAAACTCAATGAATGGAACTAACACTTACATTATACAAAAATATAAAAACAAACTGTTAAACACACAAATAGTTTACGTTTATTTACACATAAGTTTTATTGTTGTAATATGTAATATTGGTACCTACAAGAAGTGTTTATAATGTCCTTGGTAAACAGTTAGTAATAGACTAATTTAACCTTCTTTCAGAGTTTAAATATGCAAGTAGGTTGATTACACCATTTAGGATCCACATTTTATCAAGATAGCAAAGTAACTAACAAAGTCATGGTATACTAGGTCAATCCCGTCGAAATCGACGGCTACTCTTGAGTTTTTAGGTAAATTCAGCTAACTGCGATGGATAGAGTGAAGTTATTAAAACTTTAGTAAAATGAAGGGAGGATGAACATAATTATTGAGTGAGAGGATTGCGTACCTTAAAAACGTGGTTAATGAATTCGTTGAAATCAATATTTTCCGTCCTTTCAACGGCTTTAGGTTACCCAAAAGGCTTTTCAGGAGTCTTACAATTGTTTCTTGTTCATGACTTTTGTTCATGTTAAAACCTCTTTCACTATATGGGGAAAGGAGTTCATATAATTGGTCTGTCATCTGACAGAAAGAGTGAATATTACTAAAATAACTGGTTCCATCTGCTTTAAGAAAATCATTCAGATTGTATTTGCATGGTATAAGTGAATCACCATCTTTGGTCATAAAAATACAGAATTTTATCAACGGGATGCATATTAAATCTGTGTTTTTTTTTATTTGATAAAAATATCTGTTGTCCAGAAAGCTGTAACATTCTTAGTTCGATGGGGGTCCAAACAATTTTGATTCCTTCTCTTGCCACATCGACCAATGTATTTAATCTAAATGTACTTATTCGCTAATTGATTATATTCTGGCGTAGTTTTGTGAAATCGTGCCATGAAGTTGCTGTCAAACTTGAACTTGATATGCGAGGGTCAATTGCCTTAGCAGAGCAGTCAGATGTGCATGTATTTTGTCGATGGAATGGACCATAATTGTAGTGGATTAGGACACAAATCTTGAACATTTGCAGAACCACATCCATAACCTAGTCCGGCTTTGTTGGCAACAAGTTATACAAAAGAGATGAGATGTGATGGCACTGTTTTATTTAATTAATACCTGAATTGCCTTCAATTCACCTACTTCACCAAAACCATAGATTAAACATACTCCGTGGTAAAAACTTGAACACAGCTCACATCCTCAACGTACTCATCTACATTTGCATGGCTTTTATTCTATGACACAATTTTCTACCTGATTATCGAAAACTTTTATGCTAATAATCTCACAAACGTCTGACGTTCTTTCTTGAATGTAATGATAAATGGTTATTGAAAGTAGACCAAAAAAGGCAAGCACCAACCCCTACAATAAATATAAGCTAACCCGATAAGAAATAATTATCTGTTCCTTTGAAATTGATATGTCCCAGTGATTTCATAATACAACATTTTATAAGTGCATTAAAACATAGATTTTTGAAAAAAAAAATTAAAACGTACCTATCATAAATTCATCATTTTATCCAAAATATAAAAAACTTGCCATGCAGTGGAAAATCAATTTTAAAAGCATAAATAATAATGTAAACATTTCATTTTTAACCGACTTCCCCACTACCAACAAAAGGAGGAGGTTCTCAATTTGTTTGTGGCGATGTTTTTTTTTTTTCTATGTATGTTCACCAATTTCTCTGTGATTCTTTTACCGATCAGTGTGGTTCCACCACCAAAATAACCAGGAGAGTTTCTATTTGGTACTTTATATATTATGTTTAAGCATAATATTTGTTTTGGTGAAAAATTCTGAAAACCTTAAATATTCAACATTTATTTTGTTTACATTTGTGCAGATTGTTTACATTTGTGCAAAGAAGGCAATAAATAATACAACATTCCTACAGCTGTTAGTTGAAACCATTTAAATGAGGCTACAGACAATTCTTCATTAAACAGTTGCTTCATATTGATCAATAAACTATTTCTTGCCATGGAGCCTGAATGAATTACATTGAGAAAAATGCATTTTGTTTTGGTTACTATAAAAAATGTATTTTAACGTTTGACCTGATTTGTGTATACAGTAATTCTGTTTTTAGTATTGAATATTCTGACTTACAAAAACATATAGGCTATGTTTCAGTGAATAACTGTATGATATTGACAAATAAAGGTGTATTGTGAAAACCAAAGCATTCGTAAAACAGGTCTAAATATAAATCAAATGCAATTATTCCTTACACGACCTAAGAAGTGTGACAGTGCATAATCGTCAATTGTCTTAAAAGTGTTAAATATTTTAATTACTAAGATGCATTTGCAGATGTGGAATGTTTATTGATATTCTCTACCCAGTTACTATATCATATCAATACTATTATGCCTGCTCTGCTTCGGAAAGTCCTAGAGGAAGATGATTTGCAATTTCGACTAGGCTATATCTTGAGCAAACAAAACCCCCTACATGACTTACACCACTTTAAGCTGAACCAATCTTTCATATAGTATATTCCAAAGGTACTATACGAAAGGTACTATGGTGTTAACGACCAATTTTCCACTTTTGAGAGATTTTTTAGCGCTGGTAGCTGAGGAATAACTTGCATATTGTTCCAAAAGGCTTGAGACGTTACTGTATTTCTTTTTATAATGTAGAAGTACACCGATTGCTGGAAACGATGATGTCTGACATTTCAATGTAACTAGAAAAGACAATTAGTTGTTCATTAGGCCTAATGTAATGGACAACTCTGTCTTTCTTAAGGAATATCTAAAGATGTTTATTTTCATACCCATTGATTATGTAACCTGAACAGGTGACTCAAGCAGTTTTAAAATAATGATTGTTCTGTGGAACTTTTGATTGTTTCAAACAGTTTTGCTTATCAAAAGTAATTAATATATAAAAAATTATACAGTCACTAAAAATCATGAAATAACTTATTTTTGTAAAAAAATACAACCGACTTCAAACGCTCTAAAAAGAATGAAATAATTTCAATACAGTTAACTTTTGTATTAGGCAAGCTCATGTATTTCAAGTCGGCGCGGCTCAAACTGCAAATATGATTGAAATTAAATATTGTGTGTGTATTTTGAAAATCAATAAATTGTAGCTGCATAACATAAATATATAAAAAACATACTGAACTGTTTTGTTTATATATTAAAGGAAATATTTTCTTGTATTTCATGTTTACTTCAGAATAAATGCATTATGAAAATAACACACACAAATGTTCTATATGAGTAGGAAAATAATTTAGTTTGATATTATGATAGGGAAAAGAAGCTAGTTTTAGTATTAAAACGCTACTTTTCCAAGTTAGAAACATTTAAATGCGTTATAATCTTTTTAAATATACTCGTTAATACCACTATAATGCCGATCTCTGATTACGGTAATAAAATAACACTTAACGCATAACTATGAAAAAGACATGCAGTAACGCCTTTAGTTATAGAAAGTCACCTGCAATATGGACACCCTCTTTCAATTTTGTATCAAAAATCATCATAGAGCCGCGCCGACTTAAAATACGTGAGCTTGCCTAATACAAAAGTTAACTGTATTGAAATTATTTCATTCTTTTTAGAGCGTTTGAAGTCGGTTGTATTTTTTTACAAAAATAAGTTATGACAGATTCAGTAAATGCTCATAACAGCTGGTTCATTAAAGTAGTGAAAAATTATACATATGGTCATAGTAAACAAATCTGCTGAGGGAACTTTAAAGGCATCTGGGGCAGAGCCCTAAGGGAATTTACCTCGTTTATCTTTTGATGGCTCATCTACAGACCAAGACCTTTCTTTGGAGACCCCAACCAAGTTTCTACACCCAGCCGTTCTCTCAAATTTGCTATGACAAAAACCCCGTTTTCCTCCATAAGAATAACATGGGACGGGAATTTAAAGGCCACTGGGGCATAGCCCCAAGGGAATTCACCATGTTTCTCTTTTGATGGCTCATCTACAAACCAAGACCTTTCTTTAGACACCCCTACCGAGTTTCTACGCCCAGTCGTTCTCTCAAATTAGCTGTCACAAAGAAAAACAGTTTCAAATTAATATATAGATTAGATCATTTGCTTCATACAGTATGTGCTTCACAAGAAGGGGGAACTAAACGAGTAAAACAATTCCTCAAAACTTAACTTAATGCAATCATATAGTTTTGGTATATATTTCCATTCAAAAGAATCCCATATAAGTTGTGTTTTATGTGCTACCAGCTTGGTTACTGTATTAAAATTACACTATTTTAACAACAACTATTTTAATATACAGTACCTAGTTATTATTATTTCTATACTTCCGTTCACAAAATTTAGGTGGTTTGAGGGGAAGTCATTCCATACCATCCACCAATAGTCCAGTGCAATAAGCATTTGAGTAAGGAAATTAAAAAAATACCCCCGCCATAGCAAACATGCAGGCTAAGCGAATTTCAACTTGTCTGATTACATTTCTACTAAAATATTTCCATAAATAAGACAAATTTATTCCAAATTTAACTAACAATAGATTTAACGAGTGAATAGGTTTGCTGCTACAGGGAAGGTAAAAAGGGTTTTTTAACCTTAGGTCAATAGTATAGGATGAAATAAATAAATTTGCAAAATTTTTTAAATATATATCCATAAACAAGTAAACTACAACAATTTTCATCTTTCTCCATAAGAATAACATGGGAATTTTAAATTACATTTTTTTTTAATTTTCTCTGTGACTGTTAGACATACAACAGTGCTTCAATATACTTAATTGTTTATTTTTCAAGCTCTACATAACGGTGTAAAAAGAAATTGCAAAATCTTTTGTTTTTAGGGTAAAAAATGGGAAAACCCCATTTTTACCCCATAAAACCCCCCATAAACCCCTGTTCCCATGGTCCGATTATGCTGGTTCGCAAACTCGTCTAAATAAACGTAGGTTTACACGTTTTTAACAAATTTCATCAAAATCGTATCATTTTTGCTTGAGTTATCGCGCTAGCGGACATGACATTTAAACGGATAGTGTTTTTTGGCCTCTAGGGACCTCAA